AACAACAACAACAACAACAATACGACAAACCGAGTTCCCCTAAATCTTCCGTCTACAACTTCCCAACACACACCGGTCGCCCCGGTGGTCTATTATATACATAATAGTGGGTAGCCTCGCAGCCTGCTACGGGCCAGGTCATGGGTTCGAGTCCCGGCAGAGAGATTTTTTTCTCACTAAAGAAATCCTGGTCTAGGATGAAAGCGACGCGTTGCAAAGCTTGTTTGTTAGTAAACCATAATCGACTTCGTAAGTCGCGAGGGAAGGGATTGCTGTACCCTTCTCGCGATAAAAATACCTCAGGCAGGAACCGCAGGAGGGGGTCCAGCCCCCCCCTCCTGTGTGACCCCGGTTGGGTCGTCTAGCTAGTAGAAGTGGAGAATAGGGGCCAGAGGGGCAGACGACAGAGTCCAATGATGGGAGAAAAAAAAAAAAAAAAACAGATAAGATTCACAAGATGGCTACGAAACTGCCTTGTTGAGTCTGTTACCCACAGGGGAGATATCGTTGTATGCTGTCTGGGAAACCGTAGACATACAGGTAGCTCACGCTTTGGATTCATTGCTAATCTATCTTAGACCTACTTCTATACATCGAGATGGATTTGTTGTGTGATATTAAGAAAAAAAAAACATATGGGCACGGATGCGGCGGGTCAAAAATCGTTTGGAACATTTGGGCCGAGAGTCCAACAATAGTTGGGCATATATTTCGTTTGGGAATCGGGCACGGATGTTGCCGACGGATTGTTCGTTTTTGATCCAATACACCGAAATCGCGGGGGTCACACCGCATCCATCCCGAGTGGCACCCGAGCGTGGCGTGTGTGTCCACGAGCTTTCCAGCACCCAGCACAGACTGGAAAGGGTGCGCGATGGAGCACGCGAGTGCGGCCAACGACAGCGGCAGCGACGACGAACGGCATGCCCACCTTCTTGTTCTTCTTGCAGCAGCAAAACGGGGACGTCGCGAGTGGCAACGCGCTGTGCTTACCGTGGCGACCTGGCGAGTTGTCCTGCGGTCCTTCCCAGATGGCGACGAGTTGGAGGACGAAGGCCTCGGTGGCCCCCCGGTGAAGCGTACCCGCCGAGTTCTTCCACGGCCAGACTACCGTGACTCGTTTTGGTGGCGCATGCTGGGCGAGACGAGCCTCAAGGAACCAGCGTCAAGATAGGCCAAGCTTTTGATGGAGGCGCTTCCGCATCCCCTACCAGTTCTTCCCCGAGCTCATGGAGCTGGTCAAGAAGAAGCAGTGCTTCCCCATGCGTAAGAAAGATGTGGCCGGGCGCATGTGCATCCCAGTCGAGCTGAAGGTGATGTATTATTGAGACGTGCCGATTCCAAAACTGGCATGAATTGCATCCATCTAGACTATTATTCTATGCATGCTAACATGCACACATCTACATATGTGTGCATACTGAGAAAGGGCAATCTATGGTCTCACTAGCGTGAAATACAGAGTGGCGCGACTGGGTGTAGAGCAAGGGCAACGGAAGTATGTATGTTCTACACATAGCCTACATCCATGAACGAAGTGTACAGCAGTACGAAGTCGTACCGTAGACCGCAGGGCTTGTGCCAAAGATAAGAAAAACGTGGTGTACACCTATAGCTACGCCAAAGCTGCTGCAGACAGAAATGAAGTAAATTATTCTCGCCAAACCCCCCTTATGCCATTTTCTACTTCTATCGCCAGAGCTGCTGCTGCAGGTAGATACTGTGTTGCTCACGCTCCTCCCGGTATTCCATGTTCTTTTCTACTGTCAAGGCTGCTGCTGCGGCCGATAGATGTTCACCTCCTCAGTACTGCTGAATTCAAGTACAGTCGACCCCGCTTTAATGACACACCACGTTTTCCCCAGCAATAGTGTCTTCAACGCGGGGAAGTGTCTTTAAAATTCCGGGGCCACTAACGCACCATCCCCGGGGCCAATGGAGGCGAAACATATGTCAAAAGGTGCGCATTCGCAGCAGAAAGGCGACCACAAGAGGTGTTGTTTGAAACCTACGACACAAGGTGATCTGAAGGTCGCAACCACTGCTGCTTTTGTGCTGCAAAACATACTTGCATACCATCGTTTGAATTTCCCCGTACTGTACCACCAAAACGCTGAAAGCGATGGTGTTCTACGACCTACGCATCGTTCATGTACACGACGGTAGTGCGCTGGTGTTGATATGGGCTTGATTATTTGCTTTATTTTTTTTTTAAGGCGTTGTCTTCCCCGTGAATATCTTGCCCAAGATCTCGCCACCGCACCTGAGAAATATCGAAGGTTGTAAAACGGCACTAGGAAAATATAGGTTGCGCAGAAACACAGAGACCAAAAATGTCGGGNTTTTTTAAGGCGTTGTCTTCCCCGTGAATATCTTGCCCAAGATCTCGCCACCGCACCTGAGAAATATCGAAGGTTGTAAAACGGCACTAGGAAAATATAGGTTGCGCAGAAACACAGAGACCAAAAATGTCGGGAAAGCACAGCGACAAAGAGGACACCGCGCCTCCCAAAAGGTCAAAACGAGGCACAACACAACAAAAGGCCAAATTCAACCCCACGAGACTTCACCCAAGGCAAACAACGAACGTTGGCAATCAAAGTGCCTTGCTCACCAATGCCCCGACCACGTAACGCGTGCATGGGTCGCCCGCACGGACACTGATGAACCAGTGACACCAGTGCAGATTTGAACTGGCACGTCGGTTCGTCGCATGGCTTCAAGCCGGCAGCAGACGAACCGCTAGCAGATGGAATGAATCTTTCCATACAC